ATTATTTTATCAACCAAACCAAGTGCCTCTGCGCACTTCAGAAGGTCCAAGGGGGTCCTTCACGAAGTCCTGGTACATTTTTCAAATATAATAGCCGGTGCTAGGATTCAATTCAATTTCACAAACGATTACCACACTCCTACTAAACGGAGCCCTGGTGGCACAGTGGTTAAGAGCTCGGCTGCTAACTGAAAGGTCAGCAGTTCGAATCCACCAGCTGATCCTTGGAAACTCTATGGAACAGCTCTGCTCTGTCCAATGGGGTCGCTGGGAGTTGGAATCGACTCGGCAACAACAGGTGTTTTTTTTAAGCAAGCTTGGGGAACAAGCAAAGGATCTCCATGAAGTCTCCCTGATCTGCAGGTTTCAGCCCTGACAATGTATCAAAAAGCCATATCCCTGTCTCAGTTCACTACCCATTCTCAGAGTGTGTCCTGTGAGACCAGCCCTGGCCTCAGTCCAGGGAGGGAAGTACAGGCCTCATATCACGGCCAATAAGGAGCTGACAGCTTGGTTGGGAGACTAGATCCAAAGCTGTAGACAGCTGCTACAGTGTGTACTATATTAATAACAAGGACCAGAAGGGTTACCAATCAAGTGCCAGCGGAGCAGTACAGACAAGAAATGTTGCAAGGATTCAGAAAAGAGAAAGTTCTACGATTTTCCCCCATCCAGAAGTGCCTAAATATCTGCAACATGTATGACAGCTAATTTCATTAATATATAAAGAACCCTTACCAATCAATAAGAAAAGAATCAAAGACCAAAACAGAAAAGAGGGTTAAGAATGAGCAGGCAATTCACAGAAAAAACACAAAAGGTTTTAAACCTATGAAAGATGTACAATCTTACTTCTAGTAAACCAAGAAACCCACTGCCATCGAGTCAATTCTGACTCATAGCGACCCTATAGGACCGAGCAGAACGGCCCCATAGGGTTTCCAAGGAACAGCTGGTGGACTCAAACTGCAGACCTTTTGGTTGGCAGCGAGCTCTTAACCACTATGCCACCAGGGCTCCTACTTCTAGTAAAAGAAATATAAATTACAACTACAATGAGATATATTAGCCTATCTACTTTCAGTGTGTTTGAAATTTCCTATCGCACAAAGTTTTAACATGTTTTATGAATTAAAAACAGACTTAAGACACATACAACCAATTGCAATGCACAGGTCTTATATGGATGCTGATTCAAATAAACAAAATGTGAAAAAAAAAAAAAAGAGAAAGCAATCAGGGAAATCAGAACACTGATTTGGTAGCAAGCATTATGAAGTTACCAATTACTTTTTAGGTATGAGAATGATAGTGTGATTGTGTTTTTAAACAGTTCTTGTTGTTTAGCTCTAACACTGAAAAATTTACGGAAGAAAAGAGCTAATGTCTCATATTTTCTTCAAAATAATCTGGAGAGGGGAAGTGGCTGGGGAACAGATAAAACAACATTGGCTCCAGTTAGTGATGATCGATGCCGGGAGACAGGTTCACAGAGGTAGTTATGCTAATCTCTCTATTTTTATCCGTCTGAAATTTTTCATACTGAAACATTAAGAAATATATTCACAATAGTATCTCATTTTTCATTCACCAGACAGGCAAAGAATCC